TTCTAGGGAATACTTTACGCGTGGCAGATATTTTATGCGATCCAAATTACATTTTACGCGCGTGAAGGAGATTTCCAATAGCAAAATGTGTTTCGCGTTTTCTCAGGTATCTCTCTACGGGAGTCGACATTTCTTGCATTTCACACGAGTAAAATGTAAATACATCCTCTCGTTTCGAAGAAATTTTACATTGCCGACTTCATGCGTCGAAGTTTGGCGATTCCGATCGCTTCGCGCATCAGAGATCGCGATAGTAGGGCCGCCTTCATTTCGTTCCACGCGAGTTCTACACGTAGACAGAGCCGAAAGGGGAGGAATGATGCGAGGGATGCGATAGATACGGACGCCCTTCGCTAGCTATACGAGGGAGAAGGCAAAGATTTATGATGTCGGTGCGTCAGCTCGCACGTCTCAATTTTGGGACGCCGTCGCGAGAGTCAACGAGAATTGTGAGTTCGGTTCTCTCTCTCTCTTTCTCTTTCCCCTTTGTTGCTCGTCGTGCCGTGGACGCGCGATAAGGGAAAGATACGGCTACCGACAGAACGAGGAAAAAAAAAAAAGGAAGGAAAATAAAGGAAGAGAAGAGTCAGACATGAGATAGCGCGGCGAGTGGACTGCGAGCAGAAACGGAGCGCGGAATTAATCCGGCCGGCAGTTCTACTCCTCTTCCCTCTCGATGTATACGCGCTTCCGTTTCCGTCCCAGCCGTACTCCGCCGGAAAATAGTTCCTACCTCGAACTCTGCGAGCGGCGTCCGACAATGGAGTAATTATTGCAATTAGCGAGCTACCTACTCCGTGGATGCTTTTTCGTGCGCGGTTGTGCGAAAGGACCGGGTAAGGAAAAGGTGGTCGATACTCTTGCAGAGAGAGAGAGAATTGCACCGCTATCGTAAAATCACTCTTAATGATGCTCGTAGCTACATCATTTGCTCTACATAAACTTGCCGCAAGCCGCGAAAGGCTGAAGTTGCATTTATTGGTCGTAAATTCGCCTTCCCACGAATTCGATGGTTTCACGACGGTTGCAAGTTTCGGTTCTAAAACACAAGGATTTTCCTCGTTCCTATGTAGAGGCTGCTGCTTTCTCATTGTAGAGCATTTCTCTCTGTTTCGAATGAGAAAAAGAGGTTTTTCCTCTGCGTAAAAAATTTCAGAGTATACCGTTTACCAGTTAAACGATATTTCACGTTCTCGCGAAGAGCATAAAGTATTATTGATAAAAATCTGCTCTGTTCTACTTATAATAAATATAAAAATATTTTTTTATATGTGAAATATTTTTATATCAATATTTATACGTGTATATGCATTAATTCGTTACCATCAAACGTTCGTAACACGTGATGTATAAACACGCAGATTGCTCTAAATAAACGCAAGTATTTATTGTATAATCGAAATAAACGACCGGAGAATATAAAACAAAATAAATATTGGCAGTACTTTTTTTACATCGCCCCTCCCTAACGGTACTATCGATACCTCACGTTCAATCGATGATGCATATGTGGAGTTATCGTGACACGGGTACATAGCACGATTACCGTAACAACTATTTGCCGGAGCGAATGTGACTTGATGAAAGCTGCAATGAAGCAATCGCGCATCTGTCTCAATGACAGAAAGAAGCCCCGCTCACAAAGCCTCGATTTCACCGAGTCAACATCACGCGGACAGTCTCTTTCTTTTTCCCTTTCTTCTATTTATTAGCCGATTGACGGCGATCGACGACGATCATGTGCAGTCATGATCATTTGGCTCACGCGAATGGAATGTCGACGAGTGAGACAAGAACGCGGGAAGGAGCGCCTTCGTACTCTTTTTCAAAGTGCACGATGACATTTGCTCGACATTCGACGCAAATGCTTAATCTGAAAACGTCGTACAGCACACTTTGAGCACGTTCTGCTCTGACAAAGCGGATACAACTTCTTTTCCGACCATTCATTTTATTAGTATTTCCTTATGTATTTTTCTTTGTAGAAACTGAACATCATAATACTGACGCTACGCTAAAAAAAAATTGAAATAAAATTAAAAGAATTCTTATTCACATCGTTATAAATTACTGTCAATTATACTATCAAATTCGTAACGTCAAAAATTATAATCAATTTGAGTTATTTTTAATATCTATACAGGTCGCCATTTTTATCCAACGTGTCGTTAATTTAACTAAAATAACGGAGTTATGCAATTTAACTTAAGAAAATGTATTTTTAACTCTTTAATTTATTTACGAAGTGCATAATACAGACCATGTTTACTTTGAAATTAACTACAAAAATGGACTGATTTTTTACATTTTGACAAAGATCGAAATTAAAAATAACAAAATGTTATTTAGTTCCAGGAATTGAATTGCTCCTTTAACGAAGTACTTATATGTGTCAGTTATATTTCAATTATTTAAAAATGAATTCAGAATTATTAATCCAACTCCGAAATAGTTTTTAAATGATTGAAGCATATAACTGACAGTGATTTCGTAATGATGTGAATAAAGATTTCATTCTTTACTTCAGTGTATCAATTTGTTCTCGACTACCACCATTATAATTTTCAATTTTAATAAAGAAAAATGCATAGAAAATTCTGATTTATCTATTTCAAGCAAAATTCCAATTGATTTCAATTTGCAACAATTCTTTCTCTAGTATGGGAATGTTTTGAGGATGTAGGATATGTTCTAAATGTTTTTAGGACGTTTCTTGAAAAGATCTATACTGTGTGGGACGAGACTCAGAAACGGGCAGAAACACAGTCGTAATTTTTCTCGTAAATTTTCTTAATCATTTTTATTATTACGTTCGCACGTTTCGGTAGGTCGCCAGGTGACTCCACCACTCGTGAGTTCTTCCAACGTTGCGGCTTTGCCCTTTTGCTACTTTGTTCTGTCATGAATAAAAGTCGGGAGTGAAGCCGCGGCAAGCAAGCCGCGGAGCGTAAAGCGGGTGTTTGTAGAGAGAATCGTTTGGTTAGAATAGAGTTTCAAACAGAAGACACGATAGAAAAGCAGCGCAACGCGCTTTTCGCAAAACGATATCAGACGCGACGTCGAGTGGGCAAAATAAAATTACGAGTCTACCGTAGTAATAAAAATGTAAATGCACGATATACAATATCAAGAGGTCGGAGTGTTTTTTTTTTTACAGTCGGCTAATTTCAATATTCGCAGCGCAATTTGATAACAAAGTATCATTTCCGTATTCCAACTTGATTCAGAGAATACGCAATGTGTAATTTCCTCCTGACTCTTTAAAACCTCTTTCTCGTGGCAGTCAAAGAAGATAAGAAGATGCAAGCGTATCTAATCCGTAGTCTCATAAATCTTAATTTGTTAACCTTGAAAAAGTTCGGTTACAATTTTGTTAGTATAATGAAGAGATTGAATATAGTACGTGTGACCAAAAAAAAAGCATAACATTTACAAGTCCTGATTACACTTTTCTTTACTCTCTTCAATGAACCGAGAGCTTACACGAGGCAGCTTTTTTAAAGGGTACGCTGGAAAACCGATTTATAATGATTGCAAAAATTCTTCACTCTACTTTCTTTACACAAACATTTATAAGATCTGCGATATGTTGGAAACAAGAATTCTTTCCGACGTAATTGGATTCGCCGGAAACAAACACGGAGTTTGTTTTGTGGATTACTTCCGCAATTAGGAGTTGCTGTAAATCCTTCAATTAGCACTTTACTAAAATGTCAATTCGTGTAATATCAAATTTGTTTTCATGTGTAATTATGAAGAAATTATGATAATTAACTACAATATTCGAATCGCATATCGCTCGGTATATCGAATATATTCGTTTTCGTGAGAAATAGTACTATTTAAAAATTCTACATTTCTAACAAAATATGTTAAAATTAATTAAATTATCTTTTAATTATTTTTAATCAAATGATATATGAAATTTTAGACACCGTTAATTAATTTCATAAAAAAAATAATCTGTGACTTAAAAATTATATATTTAGAATAAATGTGAAATTTATCTATCATCATAAATGCCAATGATATTTATACTAGATTAAGTACATAATCTGAATATACTGAAACAATATTCCCATAAAAACATTCATAATTAACGTGTCATAGCTAACGTAATTGTTCATTTACAAAAAAAAAACAGTGTTAGCAACTTAAAATGTGACAACTGTACACAAGTTTTAAAATTATATTTTATATAAATATTCAAATTATTTTATAAATTAGTTATATAAATTAATTATAAATAATTATGAATTAATTTAAATTTATTTGTTTTAAATATTTTAATATCTATGAAAAGTATTTGTTGGTTGTTTATTTAAAATATATACATAACATGTATACATATAAATGTTATAAGTAACTACTTGATGCATCCAATATTTCAAAGAAAAGAAATGCACAGAACACGAATGATCTAATCATGTATATTAAGAATTAAATACATAGTTAAATAAACTATTTTATAATTGGAAAATAAGTTTATTCAATTATGTATACATTAGTCCTATACACATGAAACTTATGCAGTTGTCACTTTTATAGTAACGAGGTACAATTTCGAACATATAATGCAATACTGAACGAAATATTTAAATGCAAATTTCAAGTTTGATAATTTCGATTTCCATTGTTTGGAGAATGCGAAAGAGAATGTCTCACCAAACAAACAAAAAAAAACACACAATTTAAACTTTGAAAATTGGATTCAAATCTTATTTCGTTCAGAATTGTACTGTATTCGAAAAAAATTGTACTACCTTACCCTATAATTCTCCCTATGCCTCTTTCTCTGAGTGGTGATTACGTAATACTGCAACAATTCACAATATTCAGATTCGACGTAAAAGCATCCATAATTACGCTAATTATTATCAACAATTAAACAGTATTTCACGAGATGCATTATATACGTTGTAATAGAACACATTAAAGCGGCGCAGTCAGTGAAACCCCACCAATGCGGACTTGAGCGATTTCGAAAATGAGAGACTTACCTGGAGGACAATTACACTCGGAGATGTCGCGCTTGGGCCTGAAGACCGCGCCGGAATCGAGCCGTTGCGTCTGCCGCAGTTGCTCCTGCATCTCCGCCTTGAGCCTCTGCACCAGGACTTCCACCGGCGACGAGGGATCCTGGACGCGCATGCAGCGTGCTTCCAAATTCGCGATCCTGGACTCCAGGCCAAGCTCGCGGTAGAAGAGCACGCCGGACACGGCGAAGCTGACCAGGCAGAGGGCGCACAGCGCCCAATTAAGGCCCGCCGCGGTCCCCGCACGGAGATCACCGTCGCGGAACTTCCGCGGCATCGACGCCTCCAGGCAGGACGGCGATGATTCCTTGCCCGTCCCCGGGCCCGACGGCCAGGACTTGGCCGCCGGGTCGTTCTCCATCGCTATCGCTGTCGTTGTCGCGCACGCACGCACGCACGCACGCACGCACGCACGCACTCGCGGCTACCCGGGGGGCTCCGGTTACGAGCGCTTGACGAGCGTCCCTAAGCGGCGCGGCGCGTCATAACCCGCGCGATGCACGTCGATACACCGGCGGCGGACTTTCGCGCGCGGAGGGACGGTAAATAGTAAATAAAGCGACCGCGCTCTTACCCAGCCGACGGACGACGACCGCGTTACAGACGTCGCGGCGTCATCGTCCATCTGGTGGAATGCATCTTCGCCGCTCCGATCGCACGCCTCGTTATACGCTTCAATTTACGTGTTTAATTTCGACGCACGACTCTCACCACTCACCGCGTGCGCGATTACTTCCGGATTCGATGCCGCGATCTCAATTGTACGCGATCGGGACACGCGCGAGCGCGCGTTCCCCGTTCAGTATGAAACTGCCGCGCGTTCCTCCGCGGCAACGTTCAGCACGTTACGCTTACCGATACGTCGCGTTCTCGCGGCCTCGCGCACTTTTCACACATCGGTGGCGATAACAGCGGGGCGGGGGGAGGGGAACGCGAACGGGACGGTCGAGAATGAACGGGAAAGCACCCGTCTGCCGACGGCGGCAAACTTCGCAGCGATCGTCGCCCGCTCCGGTCAACGAAGGAGCAAGATTTACGGCAGGGATAAAAATGACAAGAAAGAGATAGAAGGGAGAGACGGGACGAGATCAGTCAGCGAACGTCGCGTGAAGCGAAAGGAAACGCTCGCTTTTACTCGCGTTCTCGGACCTCGCAGCACGAGTCGCCGTTACGAGGGAGAAAAGCACGGGGAAGCGCGCATACGAGACGCACAGTGTAACATTCGCGGTACGACTGGATGTGGTGGGGCGACACTACGACGCGAGGACAGAGGGTTCGTCGCTTCGGCAGCGCTCGGCCGTCTTCGGGGAGGCTCGTCGCGCGCCGCGCCGCGTCGCGTCTCGCCTCGCCGCCGCGCAACCACTTCGCTCTAACGGCCCGCCAAACGTGCACGTATGGAATAACGCATTGCGAATCCAAGTGTGTAATAAGTGCCTTCATATATACGTGTGTGATTTACCCTGCCCACAATAGAAGACATTTTATGGGAACACAGGAATAAATGTTAAATACTAAAAAGATTAAGAAATTATGAATGTATATAGAAATTAAGAATGCTTGAATCTCGTTATTATATTCAATTTGAATTATCTTTAATCATTTCTAGAAGTCGCCACTACACATGTGTATCATTAATTTAATTCAAATAAAAATGTTAAACAATTTAGAAATGGATTAAATTTGATTCGAAATTTAGTCTGTTATTTACTGAGTGCATACGTTAATGTAGATGTTATTTACTTTGGAGGCAATTCAGTCACAGAAACGAATTGATTTACATTTTGATATATGTATATATATATATATATGAGTTAAAAATATTATATACATACATATATATATATATTTAACTCAAAAGATTGAGCAAATATCGTTGCTCCTTTGACTTCTAATAGTGCGTATTTTGTAACAAAATTACAAATTTTTCTTGTTATATTTGAAAGTGATACAAAAAGGCGATGAATCTAAATTAAAAAAATCATTTATAAATATTTTGAAAGAATAATTATAAAATAAAACGTCAACATTTTAATTTTTAAAATATGTAATTGTATTTGTCAAATATAAATGCCAACCTTATTGGACTGTTCAATATGTATGTAACATTAATTTTTATACGGAGTATATAAATTTCTGATTCCAATCAAAAAAGCGCAAAGTGCAGAGTCTATTTATCTGATTCTAATACATCTCCAAACGTGACACAATGGATACCAATAAAATGACATATAATATGTCATATCTAATTTTTATTTATTGTATGTTACGTTTAATTTCTGATTTTGACTTTTTATTTCTCTAATATTTAACATTTATTCTATTACTAACATTTTTTCCACTATGTGCAGAGTTTTAGTTTTCCATGTAAAAATAATACTGTGCTTGTATACAAATGTATATTTTCTATGTATATGTATATAGTTACCTTTACATGGAAAACTGAATCACACACATATATAAAGCCCACTTTGTTAACCTAATATTTCATTTGTCGTATGACAAATTTTTCAAGCGTATCGATTTACAGAGGATATAAAGGACATAAAGGATTTCCAGAAACTCCGAGAAGTTCTTTGTCTTGCAGCTAATCGACATATTTGAAAAATTCGTCGTACGACAAATTTTTCAAGCACGTTAATTAGCTGCAAGTTAAAGAAGCTCTCAGATCTCTATCTTATATAGCTAATCAACAGGCGTGAATAATTTGTTGTATTCTTAAATGAAATAGCCTTACTTACACACACTTGAATTTGTAGGGCATAGGACATACGTAACGAAACTCTCCATTCGTTCTGATTCGCCCTCCCGCGTTTTATTTCGCAATGGAGAGCCCGAGCCCTTCGTCACCTCCGTTCGTCAGCCCTGAGCGAACGCGAGATTCGACGAAATAGAAGGAGAAAGGAGAAATAAAGAGCGAGAAGGGGAAGTAACGTAAAGTGCGCCTCTTTCAGTTACTCTTCCCACCTTTATCTCCGTTCATGTCCATTATCCACTCGGATTACACACCGGAGGACTCCGCTTTCGTACGCACGTAAACGGCTTTAATATCGGGAGATTGTTTTTGTCCCAGCCACCCGTCGATGCTCAGACAGTTCCACGAATGTGGTATGTTTACCTATCATCATTGTTAATTCTCAGATACATGCTTTTTATCGATTGTACACTTATCGTTTGTATTTATATCTTTGTAAACTTGTTTTTCGATATCGCATCGTATATTATTGTAGAAAAGATATTTTATCGTTTACAAATATATGAATGGCAAATCCTTTTTATAAATAATTTTACATATTATTGAAATATTTTCTATTATCTATGTGTTGACTACGACGTAAAGAGTGAGCGCTGTTCTCTGTGCCAAAAATGTGTGGTTTAAATTCAAATTTTAATCCACCTAGAGTATCATATTTGATAATTTTATTAAATATGTTTAATATAAAAATATTTATTAAATAATATTAAATATAATATTAAATAGTATCTTTATTTATTAAATGTTGCACGTCACTGTACTCAATTTATGTGGCGATTATAGCATAAAGATCTGTCCTCGATGATTCAGGTTCAAACATCCATTCAAAACACATATTTACATTGGATTTTATTTAATCTCTTGAAAAGCAAATCACCGAGAGTCTCTTTGCTAGAAGACCGAGAACCTCTTTTAATAGATCATTCAGAAATCAGAATCAACGTTAGACTGTAAATATATCTGCGGATATATACAGAAAGGTCACCATATCTGTGACACGAAATTACAAATTTAGATCTTCTCTTTCTTAAAAATTGTATATTAACGATAAACTAATAATTTTTGATAAAACAAAAATAACCTATAAATTTTGTAATAATATAATCTTTTTATTCCCGAAAGAGTATCTCTTTTAAAAGATGCTTTTCTGTAATAATCGAATCGTTATTATGTAAAAATAAAGGAACGAGCACGAATTTTTAGACAGTACGTATTAAAAGATATTTCTTTCCATTGAAATCGGTTTTACAGTCTTTTGTATAATAGTATTAAAATCATTACGTGATTCACGTTTTAACGAACATTTAATGTTATCTTGGAGAAAAAAATTTCAAAGTGTAAAGATAAAATTAAAAATATTAAATTTGCAAGGAATTTGATTTACTTTTTACTGTTGGTTATAAAATCAACTAGGAATATCATGTATCTTTGTGAACATACTTTTCTAGATCAAGCGATGCGGTAACGTCGCGACGCCAAGTGCATAAAAATCAGGAGACACGGTAGTGTCTCGGTATATATAAAATAGGCCGCTTAACCGCTTGACGCGTGAATGTACATTGCCAATTCGCGAAGCTACCACTAGCTTCATCTGGAATGTTGACATCAACAAAAACTTTCGATTAAAATTACTCAGTAACGACAACTGCTATTAACAATCTAAAAACGCTTTTATTATATAATATCGATATCTTTCGATCGCGACCAGCCCGAATAAAATTGGTGCAACCGACACCGAGATCTGGAAATCGAGTCCCGAAAAGTAAAAAGACCATTTCAGATTTTCAGATTTTTTCAGTTATATACATGATATATAAAGTAATTCGGGGGCAGATGACACAAAGTGGATGATGCTACTTTATTTATATTTTTAGCATAGAACATATATTAGCCATTCTGACTGCGTAGAAGTATATAGTAGACAATGAATGGGCAAGAAATGCAATTATCAAAAAGTTTATGCCAATTGACATTGAAAAATATTTAACAAAATACAAAAAGATAAGTGAAATATGCTCTTTCTAATATTTGGTATGCTAATAACTAAGGTTTGTTCGATGCTTACTGTAAAAACAACTGATATGATATAGTATATCGGTTTGATCAGTTTATCCGTAGCCTTTTTCACACCTGTTTTCCGCATCTCTTTTCCCTTTTTCATTCCTTTTCTGCAGTCTTTTTCCACAACCTTTTCCCTGCCTTTTCTCAACCTTTCTGCATCCCTTTTCTGCAGTCCTTTTCCGTAAATTTTCTACATCCCTTTTCCGCAGACTTTCCGCACTCTTTTTTCGTAGCCTTTCCGCAATCTTTTCTCAGTCTTTCCTCAGCCTTCCTGCAACCTTTCCGCAGCCTTTCCACAGTTTTTTAGGAGCTCAAA